CACACAATCCAGCTTTTACTCGGCATTTACAGTACGTTTGGTGATGTTGGTGATGAAAGGTGATGAAATGTGTTTGCTTTTTTCGTGATGTTGGTGGTGACGTTGTTGATGACAATGACGACGTGTAGTTGGTGGGGCGGGGGGGGGGGGGGGGTAGTAGTAGTAGTAGTAGTAGTAGTAGTCGTAGTCGTAGTAGTAGTAGGTGGTAGTAGTAGTAGTAGTAGTAGTAGTAGTAGTAGTAGTAGTGCGAGTACGAGTACTGGTACTACGTGCGACTAGTACCACCACTGCTATTGGTGCTACTGGTACTACCTAGTGTTACTGGTACCACTGTTAGTATCGCGACGACGCTACAACTACTGCGGCAGTCGTATCAGCAGGAAGAAGCCACTGCGGAGAAGTAGTCACCATAACAGGTGGCAATGGAATGTCTGCCTTCTTTCGGGCTTCGCTGGAATCGGAAGCAGCCAATGCCTCTTGCAGAGGACATGAAGACAGTGTACTGCCGTAAGGATCTGAGACTTTTTTAGATTCTATCTCATGTCAACGTCACCGGTGTGTCCGTAGTAGTAAGATGCTGGCCGCCGCGCTGGAAGAGGATTGCCCCATTCCTGCTACAATCCTGTAGAGAGCGCTCCTATCAATAGGCTGTGACGTGGGTGCTGTTCAAACGGAGCTGACACTCTTTATCAGTGGCTGCCGGACAGCTGGTACGACTGCTTGCTGACGGATCGACAGGTGGCAGTTGCAGGGTCGTGGATGAGTCGCACCAACGTCAGACTGTTGCTACCAGATGTTGATCCTTTTAGTGGAGTGCACATGCATCAAACAGCCTCCGGATGCCGAGACGTGACACCTTTCCAAAGCCGGGGTGTTGTCGCCTGGGGAACATGGCATCGCTTGCGATGGCATGGCGACCTGCATTTCTAAGCTCATTCTCGTGAGACAACATATGAGGAAAGCTTTCCAAACCAAAAGCAAAAGGGAGTAAGGGTAGGCCGTGGTGGCTCCATGGTCGCGAAATCATCTGCCACTTCTGCATGCCTAGATTAGAACGATGTGCACGTAAAGTCATGTTCCCAATCGGAGTTGCCAACTCTTTCGGCACATTGCATACTAAGTCACACTACAGTTAGACATAATGAGAGATTCGACAAGGGATATGCGGGCAACTTAAGGGCAAGCGCTGCGAATAAGCACGCCCGTTTCTCTTGCGGCGAGCTGATTCCACCCTACTGCATGTAGCCGCCACTGGAGCGGTTGCCACTCAGCTGCGGCTTGCCAAAGAGGTTCGCCTGCGGAGAAACAGAACAATAATTATTCGGATCTCTGATTGGGTGCTGCTTGGGCCTTGTGCGAATGCATCCAAACCCTCACGACTCACGATGCATCGGTTTCGGTGCTTTGGAGACATGATGATGGGGGGTTGTCTCTCGGGCCGTCGTGAGCTCGCAGGGCATCGGTTTTCGTGAGGTTGGTTGGTTAACTGATGCCCCTCTTATCTGGTAATCTATAATTCAATACCCTGAAAGCACGTGGCTAGCCTTTGAATCCTTAATTTCACAATTCAGAGGCAAGAAGTAACTTGGTGCGCAAGCCTTCAGGACGTGTGGTCAATGTTGTCTGTCCGACTGCTCACATGCCACTGGTGACTTTCCCCTTACATACACCGCCGACCAGGTGCGCATCCAGACATCAGAGACAATGCCCAAGCAGCTGTGGAGGAAGCAGCCGACAGCTACTCAGTTTTACTACAAAACCAGGCCCTTGATGTATCAATCTAACCGCCGCCCCGCACCCGCCCTACCCCCGCCGAAGATGCAGTGCAGCCGAAACCCTCCTTCCAAGCTCGGGGCAGCCTCATGCGTTGCCAGCGCGATGCGTTGCAGGAGTGTGGCATCAACTTGGTGCTCCTGGCAGCAGCTCTGCAGACTTGCAATCTTCACCAAAGTGATTACCAAGCGTTGGCCCCGTAGCCTGTGGGAGGCTTCACTTCGCCGCTTTTTGCAAACATGTTGGAAAGCACTCGACACAAGTGTCCACTCGACTAGAGCCTCGACATCCCGGCCCATGTGAAAGCGCCCACCCACTTACAGAGCTGCCTGCTTGGCCAAATAGGTAGCAAGGGCACTTTGGAGATCCAGCTCCGCAAGTGGATCCTTGCCTCAGGCTCGGAGTTCAGTTGGAACGCTCTCCTGAGGTGCTACAAACGAGGCGCTAGAAAAGGCACACCGTCCGTAGCAGTATATGTACTCAGTACATGTTGCAGGGAAAGCGAGACGACATTGTCAGCTAATCGTTTTCTGACTTTCTGGGGCTGCAGCGTTCCAGAGCCTGCGCAGAGAGAGCCGACAGATGAAACTGCAATATGCTGGAGCTGCTGGCGCCGGTGGACTTGCAACATAGTCTTGGTAGGCACACGGAGAACGGTGGGAGAAAATTGTTGACGGCATGCTGC